GTAAACGGTCAAACTCTGCTCTCAGACCACAGCGCGGAGTGATCCTGTAATCCAGAGGAGACATTTGGAGCACAGCGATCTGCAGGGTTTCACTATCAAGGAGCTGAATGCTCTCTGTGCGTCTCTCAGCCAGGCTATACAAGGTACTACATAACCTTAGTCACGTCGTTTAAAAATAAAAGCAGTTTTCTCTGAGTGAATTTTAATGGTTAACTGTTCATCCGTGTTAGATCTGAGCTCAGAGCTGGTGGGTCGCCTCCAGGTCCGAGACCAGCTTAGGACGGAGCAGGACGCCATGCTGCTGGAGGTACAGGATCTAACGTCACTGTGACATCACGTCCACGTGTGAGCAGCTGGGAGGAGTGGTTATGACTTAAACATTATTAGGGTAACTCCACAAAGTTCTCCACAACATCTGAGACTTTCCCTGCTGCTGTTGGTCGGACTGGTCGATCACTGTGAGGTGTTAGTCTCTATAAAGCGCTTTGAGTGCTCAGACAGAGTAGAAAAGCGCTATATAAGAACAAGTCCATTTACCATTTACCATTTATAAATACTGGGACTTTTTTAATGTTCTGTGTTTTTAGGTGTGTAAGGGAAACTCTGACCCGCTAAAGATGTCCATAAGGTCAAAACCTCAAAGGTAGAAGCATGAGGGGGAAATATGACATCCAGGTTTGGTTTTGTCTGTTTGTGGTGGCGCAGAAATGATTGTGATCCACGTGGAAAGGTTTCACAAGTGTTACTGGAATTCCCGTCTCTCTGGAAAGTGCTCTTAGATCATCCTTCAAGCTGCAAGCACTGAACCCAGATCAGTGTCTGTGCAGGCTAAATGATGAGGAGGGTCATGCACATTTCAAAAAAGGGGTTGTTTTTATTAAAAACAATAGTTTTAGCACCAGATTCTATTGCATTATGTTTCTGTTATGTTCATTTATTAACTTGAGAATCCTACTTGTACTTTACATCATTTCTCCCACAGATACAGTAGAGACAGTCATTTCTGCATAATAGTGAGATAGTAAGAAGCCTTCCAGCAGTCCTGTGTAAAATATCCATCTGGCGAGTGAGACTTAAACTCTTAACTCTGCAGTGTAAAAGGGACCAATATGGAAAAGCTCATTAACATCTGTTATTTGCTCTGTTTCAATATAGTCTTATGATCCTGACAAAGTCTTATTTTTATTCGTGCTTTTCTGTCTACACTTTTTAATTGATGTTGGTAAATAAATGAAATGTGCTCTTTTGTACAACAAAATGATATCTTTAGTATTAATCTGAATTTTGACACTTTTAACTTGTTGAATTGACTAACCTGTAAATTGTAATTTACTATTTTTTGTTTGTGTTTTTGGTCACAGTGAAAGTATTTCATCTCATTCCCGATGAGCTGCTGATATCAAGTTTAAAAACAGCAAACTTTTTAAAAGTTGAATGTAAATATGAACAGTATACGTTTATTTGTAAACCATCAGTGTCTTACAATATACCAGGTGTTGAAATGGAGATCACTGTTATTGAAATGTTCTCTTGGAGTGCAATGCCATCTTTAAAAAAATCATTTATTTATTTAAAGTTTAAACAAAGCACATCAAAACCTGAAAAAATTAAAACTAATTAGAATAATTGTTACCACGGTCAGCAACACGAGCGTTTGTTTCATTCTGAGTTTTTGAGATAGCTTTGAGTGGAAAAGGAGGTCCACTCCCCGCTGCCCCTCCAGTCCACTGTGATTATCCATTCTGCTGATTTGTACTGAGATTATGTGGATTAAAGCCTGTCGTTTCCTCAGCAGGACAGATGGTAAATGTTGAAGACGTTAACACTTTTTTTTGAAGTCACAGTATCCCAACAAGATTAGAATCTAGTTTCAATCTTCTGGTTGATGTTATCGACCAATATTAGCTATTTTTATATAGCTATGTGCTATCAGTGTGGGCATTTATAATGGCCAAGAAATAAAATTAGTAATTATAAAATAAAGTTGGTCTCCTCAGTTTCCAAACCTGTGCACAGAATCAATTTCTCCGCTGTGGACAAGACCAAAGATGAAGGATCAACAACTGGAATGGTGACAACTGTAGGTTGTTTATAGAGCACTTTTCACAGGCAGTCACAAAGAGCTCTACACAAAAGGCTGAACTAATCGAGAACATTAGGTGCCAAAATGGACAATACGAATGATTAAATAAAACACAAAAATTAACAGTTAGTTTAAAAAGTTTTAGTTTTAAAATTAAACAAATTCTTAACACAAAGCTTGTTTTCAATTCAATTTTATTTATATAGCGCCAAATCACAACAAATGTTGCCTCAAGGCGCTTCATAGATACAGAGAAAAACCCAACAATCATATGACCCCCTATGAGCAGCACTTTGGTGACAGCAGGAAGGAAAAACTCCCTTTTA